GACAGTTCATAACATCATACCTTGAGTTTTGCACCAATCTTCCGGTAATCACTTGTGTTCACCCCTTGGCAGTTGATTCTCACTAATTCACAAGCACCAAACGCCTCTCTAACATTCCTCACAAGGTTACAATATACACCATTTTTTCCTGCAAAAAAAAAAAACATTCTATATTATCATGGAGAGATACAGCATTCCATTTCATCACTATTTTGTAAGTTGGAAAGGGAAAAAAAGGTCAGAAATACCAATCTTGCAAATTGGCAGTAAATTCTCTCCCTTTTTACGCATTTCAGTTGCTTCTTCCAATGTAAGTCCTTCAGGAACTTGTTTTTATTAATCTAGGGTATACAGGAGTGATGGGACGCCACAACATCAGCGGGAATCTTGGGCGTGTTTTGCAGTTGTAGTTTCTGCCACGGAAAAGGTAAATTACACCACCTTTACTGTATATAACCTTGCCTCCCGTTTTTCCTGTTATTTCACACATTTCAAAATTTTCAGAAAACTCGGCATTAGCCAAGCTTTAATCAATGCAATACAAATGAGCTAAAAAAAGACAAAGGCCATGTTCTCCTCAACTTAATTTTTTTTACTAAGGCCATGTTCTCTTCACCTCATCTGAATGGTTCTGATCTGATTGAAATAAGTTTTGTTCTGATCTGATCTTAATGTATTTACATTTAAAGTTGTTTGTGATCTGATATGATATGGCCTAATCAGATTCCAATAAGAATAAGTAATGAGTAAAAACAATAAGTTGAGGAGAACATGGCCTTATTACTTATTCTTATTGGATCACATCATACTAGACTAGATAAAAAACAACTTCAAACATAACTACATTCAGATCAAATCAGAACTTATTCCAAATAGACCATAACCATTCAGATCATGTGAAGAGAACATGGCCTAATACTCCCTCTGTCTTCTATTAATATTTCCACTAGCCTTTCGAGGATATAACCGAATACTTGTTCCACATTGATTTTAAGAATGTATCCAAATACTTTTTCTACTGTCCCCTTTTAGTAAATAAAAGGATCGACATGTGACAAATGCCCATACTTTCCACATTGTCTACCCTCTTACTTTTCAACATTAGACACTATAAAATGCTCCTATCACTTAGGGTTAAAAAAAAACAGGGAAAAATCCTATTGGAACCATTAATAGATGACAGCAGTATCACTTTTTGATTACTCAATTATGTCAAAAGACTTGGTTCTTTTCATCCCCAATCTCTAAGCAGCTCTAGTTTTGGTCATTGTGCACCACCAGAGTTACTAGCTTGGTGCTTGCATTAATTAGAACTTAAAGAGATTTCTTAATGTGAAGGGTCAAACTGACTTCGGTCATAAGTAAGGACCAAGTGTGGTTAACAATTACGGATGGAAAAATCACAATTTATCAGACTGGAAATGCGAATCTACTGAAATGGAATAACTGTGCGTTATATATTACCTCCAGTTTCTCTCGCACATTCTTCATGTCTACTGTACGTCTGTACATACCCCCTTGCACTTTATCTTGCACACTCTCTTTCGCTTTCAATGAGCATGTATGTTATCTAACATGTTGTGGGTCAGGCCATCTCTTCCCTGAAAGAAAGAAAATGCATGGATCAGGATTCATCACAATGAATGTGAATGAGTAAACAGGGATAAAGTATTAGAGTATATATTACGGCTGAAAAACTTTTTTAAAAACGTCAATGCCATTACTTTCTAATTTGTGTACTACTAACACAACATCAAATCTTCTTATAATCCCAACTCCTTTGGGGTCTAGGGGTGGAAATTCAAAATTACAGACTATATTCAGTGGTCACATGCTTATTAATTCGCATACTAACGCTCAGTTGTCACACGGTATTTAACATACTTTTTAAGATAACCATCGCATCTTTATAATTTGACATTCTAATAATAATTTAGGAAAATAATGCTACTCCATGATCCACATTATAATTAATACTCCGTAAAACCAAGCATGTCTGTATGACTACATAGAAGAAGCACTCAATATAAAATTTTACCTCTGTTTTAATTCACATACCCATATTCAGTTGCCGCTTTGTTTTCTTACAGCTATTAACATGCTCCTCAATTTCCTCTTTCGTCAAGGGCTCTCCCAAAATATCTTCTCGAGAAGTCACATACTTTGGTCCAGTCCCTGGCAAGAAAGGACCCGGAGCTTGGACTGGCTTCACCCCCTTCTTATGGGGCGGAGGCAGCTTAAAAGAATCAAATTCCGGCAACTTCTTCTTGCTAGGAGGAAGCGGCTTTCGCCCAGTCCATGGTCTTGCCATAGTTGTCGACTCAAATGGCATTACTAATGGCTCCCTAAGCTTCAAAGGCTTTGCCTTTGGTGTCTCAGTGTAACTATACTGATAAGGGAATGGAGCTTATGAGAACTCGTACGTGACACCATTTTCAGTTACACTGACCTTCCTATTTGATTCTTGGGTGGGCTCAGCTACATCACTGTCACCGTCAATGTTTGATCTTTCGCTTTGGGGGCCCAAAGGCCGGGTGAGGGTCCCCAGAATTCCTGTAAGGCTTTGAGTATTTCGATTTCTTACCTGGAATTGATGGCTTGGAAGGATCAGAAGGGGTTCCGATGGATTTGAAAAGTTTCAGTGACCGGAGAAGGAGGGGCAGGATTGTAATTGTTGATGATGTTTAAGGCGGCGTTGTGCCGCTTGTGGAAGCGGATATCGTCTTCGATTTCCTTTAGGGTTCGCTCATGGCGATTGAACTTCTCGGCGTTGGCGTTGTTCCACCGAGAAAAGCCAACCGAGGTGGCGGGCCGGTGGTGGTGTGATGGAACCGGTGGCGCGAAAATTGGGCATGAGATTAGGGTTTTGGAAACCATTTCCAGATGAGCATTTTAATGGGGGGTTTGGAAATTTTATTGCTCCTTTTCAATTTTCAGAAGGAATTTCGAACAAGAGGAAGACGTTTGCTCTGAACTCCTGATTGTGGATTTGTGGCTATTATGGAGTATTGTACAAAAGTCATTAAACCAAAAGCTTATAGACACCCTATGTTGAGAAAGTATGTAAAAATAAATACTATAACCATAATAGAATTACTTAGAACTGGCAAGACGGTCGGTCAGGTCAGGTTCGGTTACTTTGAGTTCGTGTTATTTCAGGTTCGGATCAATTTGGATTTGGGTTGAGAATTACAGTATGTTCATGACCCAGTGTCATCGGGTTCGGGTCGACCCAACGGGTTATGACTTTAGTTTTTTAAATTTTAAAATTCACATTAACACTTACTTTTTCTATTAAATGAATTTAAAATATCAAAAAATATGTATTAAATCTATTAGATTATTCTATTTTAAATCCTGAAAATATTTTTAGATATAAAAATTAATATAAAGAATTTAAAAAATGTTTATGTTTTAGAAAACGGTAAGATAATTTTGCAATATCATTAAAATTTTGTCTGAAAATATAAATTTATACATCAAAAATGAGTAGTAAAGTTTAAAATTTCGAAAAACTCTTTCTTTAGCGGATTGGTCAGGTCGGGTTTGGGTTCAGTCGTGTTTGACCTATTTTAGTGGGTCTTTTTGGGTTCGGTCAACTTCGGGTTCGGTCATCAAAACCTTTGTTCAAAACCTAGTGTTTTCAAGTCGGGTT